TGTGCGGGGCCGTCGTTGCAGAGTACGTGCCTGTCAAGTGTAAAGCACCTTCTGAAGATGGCAAGCACAACGCTGTCTGACGAGGGATATGACTGTTGCGTCCAGATTTGCCGGGTATAGTGGTCAGGCAGGAGGTCTTCCTGCGATATTCCGAACTACCCTTCTACGAGATACCCTGTGTCGGGCTATCTCGTAAGCAGCGAGCTGCTTGGCGCAAGCTAAGCCGAGCTGTCTGGCCCGAGGTGCCTTCACCTCAAGGTGTCTATAGGCGGATCGGTGTGCTCCTATCTAGAAGTGGCCTGAGATCCACTGGGAGGAGCTCGAGTATCAGGAAGGGTCAGGGGGCCCCGAGCTCGGAGGTAGCTCGGAGTGCCTTAGCCCCCGGGGTGGTGGTGCAATCAGGCGGGTCCTGGCGAGTAGTCTATTCCGCCGAGTTGCCGAGCTGAACTCGGTGGGACCTTCACTCCAAGTTGCGACTGCGCCTGCTGTGCTGTCGCGTTGAGTCACCGTTTGAGCAAGGTCATGCACACGTGTACTCATGCTACGAGGTCGGGCCAAATCACCCTCCATCATGTTTAAAATAACAAAAAAGCTTTAAAGGCCTTAAGAAATTAATTATTGTTAACTTATACATGTGTCAAAAAGTGTATATAAATATAAAATGTTAAATTTATTGGTTATAAACTCTATATAATTATAATTGTACATAATATCTATATATGTGGATATAATTATACTACATATATATGAAACAATATTTTTTATAAGATTTGAATCTTAATTGGATCGAATGGGGTTAATTAAATCCGCATCTAATTGGTCACAAGCAATTTCTAGCATCTAAATCTAGGATAATTGGATTCAAAGTACATTAACCCTACCTACCTAACATGCATGTGGTCAGAATTCGCTATTCAAAATTTTAACTAATCTGGGTCTGGAGAAGGTATTTTTCTTTCTTGCTGATGTGTGGTGATTTCAAAAGCAATTAACCAATGAAAATAAAAACACATTCATGTTATAAAACAATCTTAACATGCATGCATCCCGGTTGCCTTTAGGTTCGCCCAACACTTTTGATCATTATTGATTCGTTTGACGCTTTAAAACAAGCTGCCAAACTGATGGGACCATTACAATTTACAAGATTAAATAAAATCCTAAACTTGATTAACTTCATTCCCTTATCAAAATATCTAATACGGCCAGTCAGTCAACAAGGAAACATAATATCTAATCGATCAGACAGTTCCCTACCCTTGAACACTAATGCTTTAAAATTAAAAATCAATGAGATGGATCGATTATCCCAAGTATCTTGAACTAGAAGACTATTCAATAGAACAATGGAACTGATGACACATATTATTCATTACACCATCCTAATCCTAATTATGAGCAAGTAGAACCTTTGGAGATTTATGTCCATCGGCCTAATAATGCTGACATATACGGGTCCCACAGAATGAATAATTTATGAAATAATGGCTACGCTTTTATTTGCAGGAGAGACATATTCTCATCATGTTAAAGAAGAAAAAGTTAAAAGCATGTAAATTTTATTCCATTCTTACTTTATTTGCATATGAAGCCGGCCAAATGTATAGGAAAGATGGAATAATGGTTTGGAAAAAACTTTGGTTGTTTGAAGGAAACAGCCAAGCTGTTTGGGAGTTTCTTCTGAGCGTGGGTGAAAGAATATTTGCAGCCTATATTCTTCTAATCTAAAAGATAAACAAGAGATTGAGTGGGGTAATGTGTCATGTAGAGGAAATTTCAAAACAGCCAATGTTTTCAACGCAAATTTTATAACTTGTTAAGGTTAGATATGTGATCTAATTCAAAGTTATATTTTACCTGGCTGGTAGAAATATCAGAATTTGCAATTATATTATATTTTCTTCATTTTATATTAAAACAACTATTAATTAAAGATGGTTTCTCTTTTCATCATCTAAGCATTATTCGGACCACGTGGGATTATCTTCATGAATCTTGTTTCACTATTTTCATCTATTTAATGTTATATTTATTGTCAAATTATAGATGTTTAAATCATTTCTTATTACTTTATCCCAAGTCCCTTTGGGTCTATCCCTATCTCTTATAGCCTCTTGGACTCGTGTAATAGATCACTTTTTTTGCAGATTAGATTAGATTTGAAGTAGGATATATCCAAATCGGATGCAATAATATAAATCTTATATCCCACCGATTCCATCAGATCTTACAAAGGTCAATTCGAATTCATTAAAGATGTTGGATATTTGAAATTGATCTGGTCCGAGTAATTTCTGTAAAATTTAACACTAGTTAGGAAATCTTATATCCAATTAATTTCTGGTAGTTACTTATTCAATGATTTAAAAACCAGAATGGATTGGACGGTTGGATGGGTTGAATCGAGATAACTATTTAATCAAAAATCAAAAATATTAAGGACAGTTCAATTGTTTGGGTGTTTTTTCTCTAATTTTTGTATGTTCACCAGCTAGGGGTGTTCATATGGTCCAGACCGTCAACAGAACCAAACCAAACTGAAATTGAAGGCTTGATTTGGTATGAATATAAAAGAAAACTTTTTAATTGGGTTAAATCCCATAGAATGGCTTAAACTGTATTAGAAATTGCACCAAACCATTTTGCCGGCCTCTTTGTCTCTAATGACTGGTGGTCAGAAGAAAAATTATTTAAAAGAAAGTTGTGAAGAAAAATTGATCGACCGGCATACAACTGATGTATACATAATTTATCCCACGACATTCTCTCCATAAGAGAACACAAGTATATGCATTTTGTGCATTTGGATTTTGGATGGTGATCATCAACTTGGTATACCATATTTGTCCAAAAGTGAAGAAGGTTTCAAGTAGTCACCCAATTAACGACCGAATCTCATTCCCCCATCTTCCATCCGCCTTTAAATAAATAATTAGATTAGACTAATCCTGAATTCTCAGATTGAACGTTGATTGACTGACCAACCAAGGAAATGGGATCTGCAGACTTTATAACCACATCCCATCGTATATTAAGAACATTTCCCATAAATAATAATACAATAACAATTATTGGTGGGGCTCTCTGCTGTGTACAACTCCAACCACGAGCAGATGTCATGGACTACAGTCTACAGTCTGCAGTCTATCTTGAGTCCTGAAGACTAGCAGAAAGAAAAACAAAAAGTCACTAAAATTCTCCACTTTTCTCCAAGCCTGTTCATACCTCAAAGGTCCAATTTAATCGGGGGAGCTAGCTAGCAGGGAAGAGATACATATATATTACATACGAATCGTATTCCATAATTCCATTCTATCCAACATTCTTTGTCTTTTACGCAAAGTCGGTTCAGACGTTCAGCTCAGTTGGGTTGAAGCGTTGAGCTCTTTGTTCTTGTGTGCTGTGCTTTTATCAGTCCATTGTCCATATATAGTGACAGAGGCTGGCCATACCTTGCAATAATGTTTTGGTTCCTTTTTGGCTTTTCCACCAAGGTTGGTCCCATGTCCCAACCAGTTGATTATGATACCCTTATTCAAATCAAAGGCACCCTGCTTTCTTTTCTCCACCATATATGCCCACAGAGCTATCGTGAAGATCTTCTCTCAAAAATTTAATCCATCCGAACTTACCTACATACAAGATAAGGAGTAGGAATGACAATGGTGTAGGGCAGGGTCAGTTTTTTCATACCCGGGGACGGAGTTCTCCATATTTGATATAGAGAAAATCTATGATACTGAAAAGACATAACACTGAAAGAGCTTTGACCAATTAAAGCATTCGCACCTCTTTTATGATACTGGTTGATTAGTTATAATTTTTTTTTTAGTATCATGCTTTTTTAGAATCGTAGTCAAATTCATATATAATATGTATTATAAGTGTCATATTTATTTTGAGCTGATTTATAACAGGAACTCCCTTAAAACCCACCCTGAACTCGAAAACAATAATGATCCAAAAAAAACACAACCCAACTGGGGTGGGGCGGGTCAGATTAATTACCATCTCCAATGGGGGAACAAGAATAGTTCCACGGGACAGGCAGGTTAGGGAATTGGGGATTTACCATCCCTAAGGCTGTGTTTGGAAAAGATGCAAATAAGTGTGAATGCAAATATGTAGAGTGTAAGACGGCTCATATAAATTATAAAATTGGGTTAGTTTTACATTGACAAATTTACCTTCTTGCCAAATAAACTTTTAAAATTTTGTTATCAAAAACCCGCTTGAATGCAAATTTACTTCTTTTTATTCATGTACTTTTACATTTTATTATCAATGTAAATATGCATTGATCTGTCATTTGTCAATACACAAATGTAATATTACTAAATACAGGTAAAAATGAACCAGAATGCAAATTTACCCTGAACCAGAATTTACACTCCATTTACATCGTTATAGAAACTAGTTAGGTAGCAGAGTTATTTGGAAAGATGCCAACCTGGGCTTAATCAGTTAATCGGGTTAAAATGGCAAGCACATGATATTGATGGATCTAGGGTTGGTTACTCGGGTTCTTCAGCTAGCCTCTCCTTAGCAGATCCCGCCCCCAAACAATACCCAACCTAATTAGAGATATATTCTATAACAGCGACGGCTATTGATTGTCTTTGGAGACAGATCGAATATGCAGGGGAAAAATAAAAGAAAAGTCGAGGATTAATGGCGAGTGCGGTCATCAAGTATGAAAGAATCTCATGAGACAAGACTCGTCAAAGATATCGAGGAATATCTGTAGTCGATATCCATAAACCGAACCGAACCGACCACAAAAAGCAATCCAACCAGATTGGCATATCCGTTTGGATGGTTGCTCGAGTGGGAAGTGGGAACTCGTAGGATGAGTGCTATATAAACCATCTAGCCCCTCCTCGATCTTTGTTGTGGTGCAGTGAAACAAAGAAACAACAAATAATCTGATAACTGAGAGTTTTGTGGGTGGCCGGAAGGCGTAGGTGAAGCTACTAGCTAGTTTACTACAACACTACGAAATGGCACCGTCGACCGACATCGTCGTTAAAGCAGGGATTGAAAGCTTTGGCATGCTAGAGGATTGCACCGGCCGGATGAGGCCTCCTTATCAAGCTCATCATCCTCGTCTTCACCGACTTCATCAGCATCCTTCATTGATGACGACACAAATTCAGATTGCCCCCAAGAAGGAAGCTACTGATTCTTACCAGGCTGTGCAGGCTTGTGGTAGATATTTGGCTACTTCTGATTACTGTACCAAGATACCGCTTTGTAAGAATTACTAGGCTCTCTTCTTACTCCTCCATCCTTCCTCTCTGTGAAAACTTAGGCTTTATATATCGTACTGAGTTGTACCTTTTTGAGTCTCAAAGTTGAATCATCTTCTGATGTAAGAATCTCTTTGGATGACTCAACGCCTCTGTAATATGAAAGTTTGAGCTACCAGCCATGTTTTTGTTACAGTTTCTTACTTAGTTTGATCTGAAACGATCAAGGATAAAGGCATGCAAAGCGAGAAGGAATGGTCGACCGACCAGGCGACCACCTATATTATTTTATCAAAAAATATATAATTTTTATACTAAATCCTGAACCCTAAAATTAAGCACTTGATTGGATGCATTCCTCCAAACAGGTGTAGCCGTGTAGGAGCCAAAGTTATTATTCTTTCAGTTGGGTCATTTGGCAATTGGCATCCCTCCCTTTTAGTTCGTCAGTCTTCAAACTTTAGAACGTGTCTTTGTATTGTTCCAAACTTTAAAATGGTCAGAAAAATATCATAAAACATAAATTTATTATTTTGAAATTATTTAATATGCACCTAATGTCACGTGATGGGATTGATTAATGATCAAGTAATGGTAGGAATCTTAGACACGATTTGAAAGTTGAGTGTACCAGAGAGGCACATTTTGAAAGTCACATTTTGAAGTTAGGGGATTTACTTGACACAACCATCAAATTTTAAGGTACTATTAAGGATTTTTTATATCTTTTTTGGAAGTGCTACACGATGGGGTAGCCCATCCCCTAACCCAGGTGTAGGCGGGATTCGATCCCAAGTCTCTGCTACGACGAGTAGGAGACCTTATCAATCAGCTTGTTGGTAGAGGTGTAAATTGGGTCATGTCACTTGCAGTTCGGCACAAACTTGGATTGTCCCTGCACGATGGTCCACGGGCCGTGTCAGGCTCGGCACGATCATGTGGGCCGTGTTGGGCCTGGGGTTTTAGGTCCATGGGCCAGCCCGACCTGACCCAAGACTCATCCCACAAGCCAGTCCGGCCCGCAGCACGGCACGAGCCCACACGGGCCTAGGCCGTGGGCCGTACCGGGCCGACCCCCAAATTTTTCACTGGGGAGGGCAGCACAGCCCATAACGGCCCACGGGTCGTGTCGTGCCCAACACAACCCACTTTACACTTCTACTTGTTGGCACCTTAAATCATGCAAATACTCTAAGAGCACAACATCTAGCTAGTTGCATATTAGGAACATCTCCTTATAAATTTAATATACATGTATAAGAGACATGTGCAGTTAGATCATGTGTTCTGCTCTGGATCTCTTACCCACTAGAACTTTACCCATGTCTACCCACAAAATACTACCTCTGTGCATTGGGAACATCTCCCTATGCATAATAACATGTAAGAGGATAAGATGTTCTCTATGTGTGACTGCGATACTATATGGGTAGATGTGGATAGAGTTATCATGGGTAGGAAATCCGGACTCACTCTTAAGACTGATTGTACAATTTTATTTTTTTATTTTTTTTTATTTTTTTACTTTCAGTAGATTTGGGCTCACGGAATGACAGCCTCTCCACTAACCCCACTGCCTGGGTCCACGTTAGAATCCTGCCATTACGGTCTGGGCCAAAACCACATCACAGATACCAAAAATAAAAAGCTCTCCAAATGCATAATATATATTACATTTTTTTTCTCCCCTCTGGGCTCTGGTATATGTATTTACATCTCCATCCCAGGAGGCTTCAAACGCTTGGACATTGTAAGGTGCCAATTGGCTGATTGGTAAGTATCAGAGACTTGGGATCTGATACTTACCAATTGGCTGATTGGTAAGTTCAAACGATTGGTAAGTCAGGCAGGCTGGGCTGGGTTCAGGCTCAATCCTAACAATTGGGCTTAAAGCCCAAACCCAAGGTCAAGCTTGAACTACCCAGCACAAGTTAAGCCCGTATTAAAATTTGACTCACTCAGGTTAGATTTGGATTAACAAACTAATTGGTTCGGCCTTGAATTGGGATAAGTTTCGACTGGGTTTGGGCTACTAAGGACTTACCCAACCCGAAAAAGTAAAAAGTCCTATGTTTTAAGCTCAGCTCCAACTTGATGACGAGAAACGAGAAATCCAAATCCAAGCCGTATGAAATTATGGGCTGTATTAATCCAGGCTCAGGTTGGGACCGTGCAAGTTGCACCCCTGAATATTGGTTTGGGGATGACCAGATGAGCTCTCCCCTGTTGTATAGCCCAATGGAGCATTAAAAAAAAAAAAAAACTTACTTGAAAATCAAGATTAAAAAACAAAAATTTACTTGAAAATTAAGGGTATAACATTTTTACCCTTTTGATCAAGGGAATCAACTGGACAAATTAAATGGGTCTATAAATAACTTTTATATGAAAATTCTTGGCAGATTTCATTTTCTCCCATAAAATACTTCACCAAAATTACATTTTCTCAATTATTATGTCCTTTTTCATATCGCTGATACAATTGTAACATAATTTGATGTTTCCCTTTTAAGGAGATTATCTATACTTCAAAGTAAAAAAGGAGTTAGCCAAAATTAAAAAAAAAAATCTTTTTATAATTTAATATTTTCCCTTAGTAAAAACGTTTTTAAGTGAAACACAATGTTTTAAAAACTGACCTAGAACTGAAACTACTTTGGCCACTGGTTTCCGAGTCAACAATTCAACCATCCAATCCAAAGATAACAGTCTGTGATACTTTAAAATTAAAAACTAAAAAATTGGCCCAAAAATCATTTTTCAGGTTACATGAACCAACAGTTTGATTACTGATCGGTGTAATCAAGTACAATTTTAGATTGTGTTTTAAAAAAGTAGGCTGAGTTCAAGAAGAGTACAAATAAAATGTATGTAGTGCAAAAACATGTATTTTATATTAAGGGGGCGTTCTTTTTTGGATTTGGAGAGGGAGGAAAATTGGTCAATGGGATTTTGGTTCTCATTGGCCAAGAATCCCATGTTATTTTTTTAGCTTTATGTGGGGATCAAGGAAAGTTTATTTTTCTATGTATCACATACCCAGGAAAGTGATACCCATCTCCTAAGTGGGTAAATAATTTTCCCACCTAGGGGAAAAATTGCCAACACTTGAATGGGACAAAAATGTCTCTTTTAATAATAGATTTCTATGGATAAAATAATCATTGCTTTATTTACCTAGGAAATAAAAGAACATGGGTAAATGCACTTACCTGAGTAAGTGTTTCTCAGGAAAAACTTACACAGGTAATTACATTTACCCGAGTAAATAACTTAACAAAAAACGAACCTAATTTCTAAACATTGTTTTGTACTATACATGTAGATATTTGCATTTATACTCTTTCCAAACTAAGCCTAAAAAGCATGGTTCTAAAGTAGGTTTTACCGCACATGAAAGCCCAAAGGTAAGTCTTTAATTGGACCCATTAACACCTATACTTGTATAAAATAGTGGGGCTATACATTAATAAGAGAATAAGAGATTGAGATTAGGTATTGTAACTTAAACACAATATGACTGCATTTGGGAGTAGGGGTGGCAACAAGCCGAGTTTTTCATGAGCTTCTCGAGCTCGGCTCGGCTCGGTTTCAGCCAAGCTCGAGCCTACTAGAGCTTGGCTTGTGAGACTCGCGAGCCGGCTCGAATATATATATAGATATATATATATATATATATATATATAATAAAATTATAGAAAATAATACATATATAATAAAAATATTATAATTATTAATTATTATAATTCTTAATTTTTTAAATATAAAATAAAAAAATTATATATAATTTTTATTTTTATAAAATATAAAACGAGCCGAGCTCGAGCTCAAGGTTCTGGCTCGAACCGAGCTCAAGCTTGAGCTCGAAACTTGTAGAATAGTCTCAAGCCGAGCTTGAACCTGGTACTATTGGGGTTGGCTCAGCTCGAATCCACCCCTATTTGGGAGTGTTTTTCCTTTTTATGTGGGATTTTAATCAAGCACTTCTTGAATAAGCACTCCCAAACGCAACCTAGGAAACTTTCTAAAGATGTCCTGAAACAAACACTCTCTCTCTTCTTGGGCTGATCTTGAGGCTTGGTTACATATCCGAGCATGAAGTGAAGTCTATGATTGGCTGGATTTGGGTGTCTGAATGGTGCGGCAAATGGAGCCTCACAAAATTCAATGTGAAAGCCCGAATCTCTCGATCCAGCAGGACAGCCTACCTTGTCGTCCTCCCATGTCCTAATTAAGAAAGAAATTAGCATTCAGATAAAAACAAATGTAGGTGCAGAGAAGGAGGATTGAGAACTGAGAAGAACACTGAAAAGGGTGGGATTGTGTAAGTTGGATCATCAAATTCAGGGTTCCATACATAGCGGGAGATTTAAAATTTATTACACAGAGATTAAAAAAGAAATCACGGACGCGATCAGAACCTTTGTCCCTTCAAGGTTCAAATGGCGATGATTGGCGGGTATGAGAGTTGAGAATCCGTTTTCTTGGTGCAAAACCGGTAGTGAATTCGGTGGTTACAAGGTAGTGGGGGTGATGGGAAGGGAGAGATTTTAGGGAAGATTGAGCCTGGGAAGAACAAATCCCCACTAAATTTAGGGGAAGCTGGGCAACCATGGCTACATTTAGGAGGGACGAGCATAGTCTATAGATAGTTTTTAACTTTTAACAATAGCGGGAGACGGTTACTGAAAACAAGGTATAAATAATTGAAACATGGCAAGAGCATTCCGCCCACCAGTGCCCATCAGGAGCGTGGGTACTGTAGGTTTAAAACAAGAGGAAGAGAAGGAAGAGAATAAGATAGAGAGGGTTTAGTTATTAAGTTGGTTAATTTTCCGCTGATCATCAATTAATGGAGATAGGAAGAATAACCCTGAAGCTGAAGGTTGCTATTGTCTTGTTTTGTTTAGTTTCAGTCTCATGCGTGAGCAATGGTGCAGTTGCAGTTGAGGGACCTATTACTACTTCAGTTTTTAACGTCGTACATTTTGGCGCTCATCCCAACGGGAAAAAGGAGAGTACCCAGGTAATAATAATCAAAGATTTTGGTTTTGGCAATGGCGATGAATGATGTTTATTCATGGATGTTGTTTATTCATGGTTATTGGGTGCAGGCATTCATGAAGGCATGGATTGCTGCTTGCCATTGGGGGGGAAAGGCAAGGCTGGTCATCCCAACAGGGACATTCTTAGTTGGGCAGGTGTTCTTTACAGGACCATGCAACAGCCCAATTCCCATAATTGTTCAAGTGAAGGGAACTGTTAAAGCAGTATCAGATGTCAGTGAATACCCATCTGCTGAATGGATCTCTTTTGAATCATTGAACGGGTTGATTCTTACCGGAGGAGGAACCTTTGATGGTCAAGGTGCTGCAGTCTGGCAATACAACGACTGTGAGAAGAACCCCGACTGCCAGATTCTTCCCATGGTAAGGATTAAGGATTCAGGAAAAGAATTTAAATGAAAAGGAAAAGAAACAATTAATCGTGTTGATGAATATCGTTGCAGTCTATAAAATTCAGCTCCGTGAAGAATGCAAACGTTCGTCGGATCAACTCCGTCAATAGCAAATCGTTCCATATAGCAATTAACCATTGCGAAAACTTCAGAGCACACGATCTCCATATCACAGCCCCTGAAGATAGCCCCAACACGGATGGTATTCACATCAGCAGCTCCATTGACGTCAGGATATCTAAGTCTTACATTGCAACCGGGGATGACTGCATCTCTATCGGCCAAGGCTCAACCAATATCTCCATCGCCCGTATCACCTGTGGCCCAGGTCACGGCATTAGGTAATTAATCAGTTTTGATTGATCCTTGGCTATTAATTACAAGCCAACACCCACATAACATAACATCCCAATTCTCACATTTCGTATCTCTGATTTGATTTACACCACAACATACAGTGTGGGTAGCCTTGGCAAGTATCCAGACGAGAAGGATGTAAAAGGAATCACAGTCAAGAACTGCACGCTCACAAACACCGACAATGGTGTTAGGATTAAAACCTGGCCTGGATCCCCGCCCAGCCAGGCTTCAAAGCTTCGATTTGAGGACATTATCATGAACAATGTTCGTAACCCCATCATCATAGATCAACTCTACTGCCCGGTATCTTCCTGCAAAATAAATGAGGTAACGAAAATGGCTGATAATTGCATTTGTTTTTTATTTACTATATATACTCATCACTCAGAAGTCGGAACCACTGATTGATTCTGTTTTATTTTCCGGCCGGCAGCCATCTCGTGTAAAGATCAGCGATGTTCATTTCAAGAATATCAGAGGCACCTCGGCATCAAAGGTTGCAGTCAATATCGCGTGCAGCGAACAGTTGCCCTGTGAGGACGTTCAACTGTTCGACATAGATTTGAAATACAACAGCACCAAACCCGATGATTTGGCTCCCTTGGCCTTGTGTTCTAATGCTCAACCAGACTTCGGGGGAACCCAGATGCCAGCTCCTTGCAGATAAATTGACCTCTCTATCTGATCAATTGTATTAATTAACTAATTAATTAAATCCTCTCTTCCCTTGGTTTACCCTCTGTACCCAGCTAATACTGAAGCTCCACACCATGACAAGCGTCATACTCTACTGTTGCATATGTATTTGTACCGCAAACTTGTATTGTATGGGTGGAGACGCTTGCCTTATATAATGTATTATGTATGGCACTGGTGGGAAAATCAAACCAATTTCGGTTTTCAAAAACTTTCAGAATTTCTTCATCAACTCTAAGGGCCCGTTTGGTTCACAGGAATGTATAGGGTCTGGAATCGGAACTAGAATGGGTCCAACTATTTGGTTGGGTGGAATTGGAATACTATTCCTATTACTGCTGGAATGGTATTCCCCCATTTGAGGGAAATGCCATTCTTTCCCCTTCTCTTGGGAATGAAATCCCATTTTGACTTATTCCAATTTAGATTCTAATTCCTCTCTTAACCAAACAAACTATGAGAATAAACCATATTCTGATTCAGATTTCAAGGGATTTTGATTCTGAATCCAACTGCAAACCAAACGGACCCTAACTAATTAGCGAGGTGATTAAATCAAAAGTAACTTTTGGGCTGAAGATTCACTCAAAGTAAACATCAAAACATATCAACCTAATTAACTTAGAAATAAATATTAATCAATATTAAAGGGAAGATACAACCATATAAGAGGTCAGACTCAGACACAATTTCTGCGTATTTAGATCAATGCGAACGAAAAAAAAAATATCTATATACAAGAACAGAATAACCAACCAAAGCCCTAACTGGGTAATTGGTCTCTCCAACCTTTTTTGTTTTGTTTACAGATAGAATTGGAATCAAAATTGTAATTGAAATCCTTCAGAATCAGAATAGGAATGTTGTGTGTATTCCCCCATCTTTTTGTTTCAGGTTGAAATGGGAATCAAAACTGACTAGAATGGATTTTTATTCTCAGGGGAGGGGGAGGGAATGGCTATTCCATTAAATGGAAGAACAACATTCCACCCTGAATGAAAATCAGATTCTGATTCTATCCATCCAAATGGTTGAAAATTAAAATGAATCATTTCGAGTATAAGTGTTATGGATCAGGTTTGGGTTGAAACCAATCTAAATCAAAATGAATTTAATCAGATTAGACGGTTTAGACATTGAATCAGACCGATCAAAATGGTCCAAAATATTCATTGAATTGAATTGGACTTGGTCCATTTATAATGAACTGACATTGGACTGGATCTGATTGGACCAAACCCATCTAATTGACACCCGGCCCCCCTAATTTCGAGTGTAGCCCATTAAGATAATGCTATTGGTGTGGTGTGTGGTAGATGATGTTCATCAATATGTATGCCTTAGAAAACCACATAGCTATGTTGGATTATTCACAATGCCTCATCAGAAGTTGCAGTTATAGCTGGGTTTGCATTTTACGCCCAATCTGTTGAGTTGGTACTTGGTAGGAACTAAATGGGCAAGGGTCTCATAGGCCCATCTTGCCGTAAGACCATTTTAAACTCATTAACCAGCCAATGTGCGACGCTGGTGGAAAAACTTGAGAAAACTCGCTTCATCCGTTTGAAGAAGGGGGATGGGCTTCTTCTTCACCAAGGCATTCACCGGGCATCCTTGATGACGAACCTCCGAAGAGGGATGAGCTTCTTCTTCTTCATCGTCATCTAGCTGCAGTTTCTCTCTGTGCGTTGAAGTAAACTGCAGCTACTGGGAGCCCCAGGCCGTTCTCTTCCGAGAACTTCCTTGAGTTGAAGTAGTCTCTTGAAGCCGGAGGCTTCACTGTTTGCCTCCCTGTTTGCTTGAACAGAATGAAGACAATCCTGTGGATCTCGATAACTGGCTTCGGGGTCCCATACCCCACGATTTCTCTGAAAGTAGGATCCGATAACTGGCTTCGGGGTCTCAAACCTGTGCCAGGAATGTCCGTAACAATACTGAAAGTTGAGTTACGGTTGGCGTTAGTGGGTGGCAGAGCAAGGAGGCGTAGGAACTCTAGAGGTGGGCGTTATTCCGAGCAAGGAGGCGTAGGAACTCCTTTGACGTCGGAGATCGACTTGAAAGTTGTTGCAGAAAAACATCAAGAAAACAGATTCAAAATGGCACTCCAGCGAAAATAAAACAGAGATAAAGAGAAAACAAGCACAGAGAATACATAGATTTATGTGGTTCGGCTTATAGCCTGTGTCCACGAGGGAATGAGGAACAGAAATCCACTATATAATAGGTAATGGAGAAGAAATACAGAGTTGTGCTTTTATAGAAAAACCCTTAGCCCAAAATACACCCAATGTCTTACTCCTCTCTCACAAGACTCAGACTTCTGTATATAAGAGAGAAAACCCCCGAAATACATGACTCTTCATATTCGGTTCGGAACTATAAGATGAATATGGGTCAGATCCATACCGCCACGGGGACATGGCCCAAGCCCTACGCATCCACCACAAACCACTATGAAATTTTGTCTTTGTGTTTTTCTCAAATTAATTTGGAGCAGATTCATGAAATGGGTCGCCACAAAAAATTCAAGGCACAAACATAACAAAAGTAGGATCTGATGAGGATCTATTTCCGAGAACTTTGCGGTGAGCATAGGTTGATCCCTGGGGATGAAATCCAGTGCAGCCACTCTGTTTCTTCTTCTCTTTCTCTTCCATGGCGGTAGGTTGGGTTTCTGCTTTCTAACTGCAATTTAGGCGACAGGTGGAGTGGCAATGGGTATCTACGTTTTGTTTGATCTCTCCGGATTGAACCTCCGAGCAAAACTAGCTCTAAAATTGAACCTTCGAGAACTCTACGGATTGATGTTCAAAAGAAGTCTCCGAAACCAACAAGTAATCCGTTGATTCCAGTTTCGTAGGAGGTAGGTCCTTTGAGACTAGCAGGGTGGACTCTGTTTTGTGTTGGTTAATTTTTCTACTCTTTTTCCCGTATAAAACTAAACAATGGAAAGTTAAACTTTTACACTTTTCCATTCCATCTCATTCAAATCTTCTCACAAACCAAACGGAGCCTAATGTTCCTTTTGTCCATACCTCCTCAATTATTTTTTTCACACCCCTCGTGAGAAAGTCCACATTTCTTCGAATTTAAAGGGTTTCTTGTACTTGTCAATATTGGGATTAAGTACAGGATAATTGGGAGGTGATGAGGTCCCCCAATGCTAGGTTAAGATTTGCAGCCTCTAGGTACAGATCTAACCACTCCGAATTTGTAAAGCTTGTATCAAATAATTTTCTAACTAGACTATTGTCCTTCCTTTTATTCCACCATGTAAACGTTGGACCATAGCTTTTAATATTGATTAAGCAGGTCATTTATCACATTCACATTCTTTGGAGTTCCCAATATTTTAGCTCCCTCACCCCCATTTCTCATCGTGATAGTTTTGATTGGCCCGACCCACAGACTAAATCTTATATATCCAAAGCCTCATATATATAAACTTGGATATAGGAAGCTTAGCCTGTGGGCTGGGTCGGCCAAAATTTGATCTAGGCCAAATCGTCACGACCCATAATCATTCAATGGGTGTTAATTTGCTGTTTGTAAGGGTGTCAATGGACTGGTTTTGGGTTGGACTCCATCTAGTCCAAAATTAATTTGGACAGATTGGACGGATCAACAAGATATATTGGATTGGACCTGGTCTGTTCATATAAATTTATATTGGATTAGGTTGGATCAAACCAATATCTAGTCCATTGATATAACATAAGAATACATGTATTAATTGATCGGGTTTAGGTTGAAACCAATCTAAATCAAAATGAATTTGAACATATTAGATGGTCTAGATATTGAATTGGACCGGTTCAAATTGATCTAAAACATTCATTGGATTAAATTGAACCTGATCCATTTATAATGAATTCACATTGGACTGGATCGGATTGAACAAAATCCAGTCCAATTGACACCCCTATTTTGCTAACCTCCACCGTCAGGATTCCAGATCACCTGCCCACGTTTACCCACAATGAAATGTTCTCTATGTATCGCTGCCATGTGGGTAGACGTGGGCAGAGTTTTGTGTGTGCAGGAGATGCGGACTCCACCGTCAGACGCACACGCGCGTGCGTACACGAAGGAGTCGGGTGTTGAGAAAGAAAAACTGAAAACCCTCGGCCTCAATAGACAGAACAGAAGCTGAAGAAGGGTGACCGCGCAGGTAAACGGGATAGCAGGGAAAGCTAATATGGCGCACTTGACGCGGCGAAGTCTTACATCTCTTCTCTCTCGAACTCTTAAATCCTCATCGTCGTTGTCTTCTGTTCGTTCTCGGTTCCCACTGGCAGTGCTCGACAAGCAGCAACAGTTACTCTCTCCCGAGCCAAGAACAATTTTGACTAGGTCGAAAACATCTGGGTCGGGGTATTCGCCCTTGAACGACCCTTCTCCGAACTGGAGCAACAGACCCCCTAAAGAGACAATCCTCCTCGACGGCTGCGACTATGAGCATTGGCTCATCGTCATGGAATTCCCCAACGACCCTAAACCCTCCGAAGACGAGATGATTGCCACATACGTCAAGACCCTGACCGCAATCGTTGGAAGGTACCTTCTGCGTATTCTTTGATCTCGATTTTATGATTCTTCGATTTTCTTCTCTTGCGATGTTGTTTATCATCTTCTGCTGATTGGGTCATTAGCGAAGAGGAGGCGAAGAAGAAAATCTATTCGGTTTGCACGACTACTTATACGGGCTTCGGTGCTCTGATATCGGAAGAGCTCTCTTACAAAGTTAAAGGTATAATACAACCTAAGGTTTAGGGTTTAAGAGTGGTTTTCATTTCTTAATTTTTAACTTCTTTCTATTCCGTCTACTGTGGCGAATTAGGGCTACCTGGTGTTCTTTGGGTATTGCCGGATTCATACCTTGATGTGCCGAACAAAGATTATGGAGGTTGGTTTTCCGTTTTCACGAAATGTGCTCTTTAGTTGTGAAATGAAATGCCTTCGGAGTTAAACTTATAAATTTGTCCAATTTTCTCATCGTTTTTTTTTCTTGATTGTTCATTAGGGGATTTATTTATCGATGGAAAAGTCATTCATAGACCACAGTTCTGGTTCAACGAGAGACAACAAACCAGAAGCAGACCTCGACCACGATATGATAGACGCCGTGAAACAATGCAGGTTGAAAGAAGAGAACCAATGCAAAGAAACAGCTGGGCACAAGATCGGAGAGAACCTACAAATCAACCAGCACATGATCCATTGCAGAGTGAGTCACTAAATCAATGAGACTTCAGAAGAGCACTGCATGAGGTTTCACTATTGGCTTACCAAAGTGGTGAACTTAGAGAATTGAATTAAGATTCGAAAAATTTGTAACTTTTGATTTATTGACGAGGGTCTCCCTTGCATTACGAACTGTACTTCATGAAGATTGTGGAACATAAATGTAGCATGACATTATTTTTTCTAGGATGGTCAGAATTGTGAATATTCTGTAGATCTTTTCTATGGCATGCTTTTTCTAGTTGTTACATGTCAACAACAAATATGGATCTTTGTGACAATAACTGATACAAACTATATTCCGTTAGGGTTTGTCAATGCCTCTAATTCACTGTGTTTTTTGGAACTTATTTGGTTTTTGTGGTAGTTTCATCTTTATTCTACAGTCCTTTCTCTTTCTGTGTCCCCATTAGTATAAGAACCTATTAAGTTATTAAACCAAACCAAGTTAAGCATATAAACCTCTGCTCCATTTAAATGTTTATAAATTATAACCTGTCTATTCTTATTGGATTTGCCTTTTGTTCACACATCATTTAAGGGTTATCTTTGTTTCCTTTGTTAAAGGATTAGTGACATCATATTGCTTATTTCAGTTTGTTTAATTGTCATGGATGATTGAAGCAACTTATTAAGCTTTCTTTGCACCTCTTGTTATGGATTGGGGGAAAAATCTTATTCTGCCCCATAAGCAAGACTCTTTTCTTTGGTTATGATGGGAATCCAACTATGGGTTTAGGTCCATTAGGGTAGAGGGACTTCAACAGCATGGCCATATCCCTTCTTTTCTATCCTGTTCTCTTTCTGTGTTTTTGTAAGAATTTCTATTAAAGTTTCTTCTAGCAATGTTTCAACATGCAATGCTTGAATCATACTTTTAATCTTGTCTTCCAAGCAAAACCCTTGTTAGGAACCATGTCTTTGCCACTTGGCTATTTTATAGCTTTGGCCTTGTGATAAAGTTGTTGGGTTGGGATGTAAGAGGACAAGGTTGTAGGTTGAATATGTGGATGGAAAAGCCATATTTTTTTCTATTTTTATTAATTTTTTTACATTTTTAACAGTTTCTCAATGAAGAGAAATGTAGTGCCAGGATGCCAGCTGAGCAGATTTAAGCAACCATGGCTGTTGATTGAAGGATATGTCCTTTCTATGATCGGTTATGATTAGGCAATAATTCCTTAGTATGCATGTATTTCTCTCACTCGTACCCCACTTGCTTGAGAAGATGGTGATTTAGAAAGGGTTTCTTCTTCATGATTGAGACCTGAAAAAAGCTTTCCAAAACCAAGTGAAGAAACATGTATCCTTCCTAAAGTTAAGAGAGTGAATCACTGAATCTAGATGCCTATGGCTATGGGCATGGTAGTTGAAATCTTTCCTTCCTTCAGGATGGTAGAGAATGCAAAAGTGTGGCCTTATGATACATAGATATGATATACCAGGTAAAGTATACCAATCCCAGTCAAGTCCATGTATGATTGATGAGTCAGATTCATTGTATCCCGGATCATATACGAATACCTATGGATGAACCTGACTTGGATGCAGATACAAGTCATTTCATGTAAGCTCGTACTTGGATCTAGATTAGCATGGAATCCTTCCATATGTAAACCTTTTTTTCTAACATCATCCCCCTTGGCCTGCAGTTTTTGTTTGGTAGGGACCAATTGTTTCCCTTAAAATTTCTTTTATATCATCTCCTTGCAACCAAAAGCAAGAATTTTTTTCTGGTTTCTTGCCTTTTTTTTTCCATCTCCACTTTATTTCTACTTTCAGTTTCTCTGGCCAAATGTTTAGGTAAAACAGTTTAGGGAATTATGTAAAACAGAAATCAAACCATTATTTACTAGTTTTTCTTTGACATTTGTATGTATAATTTGCATAATCCCTGGAAAAGCAAGGCTGGACATATTAAGTCCTAATCCTCACTTGTGTTACTGAATAAGTCGGAAATAGGTTTGGCCTCGTAGATATCAAACAAGTGAATGAATCCCCCACCCCGTGAAAGTAGGAAGTGTTTAATAAGACCAGCCCTGACTCCATGAATGAATCATGGTGGTATAGGAAGATGTTAACCTGACTCTTAGGTGGTTCTCCACATGTTCAGTTCATTGAACCCCATACTCAACCTCAACCCCATTAGTACACAAAACCACCTCATAGAAGTGAATCTGCCAGACAGAGACGGAGCCAGCTGATTAACCCAACTCCTTGCCATCCTTAGACTATTTTTTTTTTTTGAACTTGCACAACTTATGTATTTTCACTTATTATTCAGATTAATCTACATTTTAACCTCTTAACTAAAAAAACAAAATAAAATCTGTCATATATAAGGCTGATGTTGCAATTCCAACTCATCTAGCAATTTTAATGGGGATAACATTTAACAGGACAGAGGGAATAGATCTTAATAATGATTGTCAATAAATGAAATATGAATGGCAACTAAGAACACAAACACGACAAAGAAAAACAAGTTTATATTCACAGATTAAGAACACAGGTAAAATTTCCATGTCTGCTGCTTAACTTGATCTTGCTTGGTCACACCTGGTGCTCTCGGGTACAGGCATCATAGGTTTTTTGCAGACTACATTGCTTTTAGCAATGGGGTTGTCATTGAAATGAATTTATTTCACTGTCCTGTAACTGTATCTGTTCTGGGAGCTTGGACTCATTTTGCATTTTTTCCATTTTATCAAACGTTGGTCTTGTACCCCACTTGTAGGTTCCTATTGCCACTAAAGATTCTAACACTGTCTTCTTAAGAGCCTATATGTCTCATGCCAACGGATACAAGCTTTCCTTTCTGTGTCTCCACTGCCCCCAGACCTACTGGTTAAATTTCAAAACCCACAGTGACTAACACCACCATCAATCAAGCTGATCCACTAGCAAAGTGAACTTCCTGATAGTAGAAGTGGTCGACCCATCAGTCCATCACTCCGTCACCAGGACAGAAAAGACAACACAAGAAATTGAAGCTTAAATGTGTCCAAGTCAAAAAAACTCACCAAGGATGCAAATGGCCCAGACCCAATCACCGACCCTCATCAGTAGGTGCAAAGAAGCCTGGCAAGTAGTACTCAGTCCAAATCAAATCAAGCAGAACTTAGGGTCCGTTTGGTTTATAGTCGGAATCGAAATTCTCCGGAATCGGAATCGGAATGGTCTATTCCCATAGTCTGTTTGGTTCAGACAAGAATGGGAATGAAAATTAAAATCAGTAAGAATGAGATTTTATTCCTGAAGAAGGTGTAGGGAATGGCCATTTCCCAAATAGGGGAATGTCATTCCAGCAAGAATGGGAATGGGATTCCGATTCTGTCCAACCAAACAATTGGAATCAGAATAGCTCATTCTGATTTTGATTCCAAACCCCTATTCCTGCAAACCAAACGGACCCTTAGAGCTTTTGGGTCTTCAATAACGTCATGAAAGCTAGCTTGCAGCGCAATGAGGCGGCACCAGTCAATCTGATCTACAGATATAATCACATTAAAAATCTCTTGTGAGATGTGAACAAGATTAACCAACCAGAAAATCAGGTCCACAATCAACCAGTATGCAATGAAAATGTTCTAGGGCCATTTATTGTCGTTACCTGATCTACTCAAACGAAGGACTCTAAGTAAAATTAGCATATATAAGCCCTGTTTTTCAGGTTTGTTGTTTTTTCACTGCTTCTAAGCTCCTTGGTTGGTTGCTCAGTTTTGTGTAGCAGTATTGAGGGATTGATTTTTATTGCCTGATCACTGCTTCTAAGCTCCAAGAGTTTTTATTGCCTGATCAGTTTTTTATGACATGGTCATCCATTCCTTATATTGATTTTTGTGAATGCCACTTGAGGTTGATGGATTTTTAAAGGGGAAAATTTCACTTTAGTACCCTGATTTTGGGGGTAGTGTCAAGTTAGTACCTGAATTTTTTAACATGTTATTGCAATACCTAAACTTTCAAAAAGTGTCAAGTTAGTTTCTACCATTAACCAACTGTTAGTTATTTGTTGAAAATGTCAAAACTATTCTTTAAAAGAAGGCACTGTTCATTATCTTTTATCTTGAAACTGAACCGATTATCTTCAAAGAAAAATAGAGAAAAAACATGAAATATGATAGAGAAACAATAACTGAAAGCAAAGAAATAACTAGAAAAGAATGTGTTTCAGATCTAAAGGTAGAAGACAATGACCTCATTTGTCTAGAATCTCAAACACCTCAACCAGTTCAGCTTCAAGGTAGAAGACAATGAACAGTGTCTTCTTTTAAAGGATAGTTTTGACATTTTCAACAAATAACTGACGGTTGATTAACAGTAGAGACTAATTTGACACTTTTTTAAAGTTTAGGTATTGCAATAACACGTTCGAAAATTTGGATACTAACTTGACACTACCCCCAAAGTTCAAGATGGTGAAATGAAATTTTCCCTTTTCAAAATTGCAAACGGGTTTTCATGAAGCATTCCACTGACACCCACAGTAGCGATTAGATGGCCCAATTCTCAAATAATCTGCTTCATCTGATGGGGTCGGGCCATGCTATAGTTTACATGCTAAAACTGTGGATCTCATCATCTATTTAATTGTTGGTTGGAGTTGGACTATGATATGATACCGGAAGAACTTATAATTAATCAACCGGTAATGGTATCATCAATTTTGGTTGGACCTTGGCAAAAGTTGGAAGCTGTGTTGGGAGTTGGGATGTAGACGTTTTCATTCTATTGGCTCAGACCTGTGAAAAGAAAAAAAAGTATCAACCACCAATTTGACCAAGAAGGGAATATTATAGATAAGAAATGATTAAAAAAAAAAGAGCACCTCTGATAGGTAGGAAGAAGAAGGAAGTCTTCAGATTTATCAGGGATTGTCTATGGCAGAGATTGCAGGGTTGGAAGAGTAAGCTTTTGTCTCGTGCGGGTAATGAGATTTTAATTAAATCTGTGGCTCAAGATGTCCCCTCCTATTGCATGAGTACCCTTATGATTCCTATCTCTCTTAGCAAAGAGTTGGAGAGAATGATGAACTCATTTTGGTGGGGTAATTCCAACTCTAATGGCGGGGGCATTAAATGGCTTAGATGGGATAAGCTTTGTGTAAGGAAGGAAGAGGGTGGTATGGGGTTTAGAGATATGCAAGCTTTCAACTTAGCAATGCTTGCGAAGCAAGGTTGGAATATCCTTTCCAACCCAGATGCTCTTGTTTTTTGTATTTT